TACCAATAGTAAATGGATATCCGGATAAATTTAGATATGGATAAATGGATGACGGATTTATCCGGATTGGACCTCTAGCTAACTCTCTTAATTATTCCTTCATTTTCGTGATATTTTGACGTATATAGAACGAAAGGTGTGGTTTCTGAATGTATATTCGGTCCCCTGGACAATTCGTTTAAAGTCAGATACGTATATGCGGTGTATGTGACGATACATTTCAGTAATTAACCAATTGGATTTAAAGACCACTATGCAGCGCAGCTCCAGGCCCCTCCATATAATGCAATCAATGTTTTGGTTACACCATAAGGAGCAACCCATTACTTCAGGTCATTCCACATGGAGCAACCCGGGTTTTGCACCAGGTCACTCCATATGGAGCAACCCGGGTCATAAGAAATAACTTTGCTCCGGGTTATTATATAATTCTTAAAATTTCAACCCACTCCAATCTTAAACAGGATTATAACCCGGGTTCTCCGGAGTATGTTGCTCCATTAACAACCCTATTTATATGGATTATAAATTTTTGCGACTACACGAAATGCAAATTAATTAATACATAGATTAACTCAGATGATTAATTGATGGTATTACAATAATGCTATATGTGATAATGAAAGTCTAATTTGAGAAAAATTTCTGTCATAAACTCATTTTTTAAAAAGTATCTATTACTAGATATATAAAAATTGACTTCTATATGTGTAACTTTTTTGTGACTATGAAGTGGTTGACTGTATAAATTTATTTCTTGCAAGCTAAGCCAAATTTTTTACTTATAAATTTATTATTTTAAAAATGTAGTAAAATTAATTAGAATAAAGTTATGATAAGCTTTTAATATAGCACAAATATTGTCAAACCTAGTAGTAATCGCACCCCCAAACCCAAGAAACAGAATAATCAAACATTGACTGAAACTATAAACAGAGAAGAATAAACTTACGTAATTGGTAATGCTAAAGGGTTTCATTTTTACAAGCTGTATCCTAATCTAATTTATATTTATTCATGTTCTTACATTCAAAAAATAACTTGCTCATTATGTTAATTTTGACGAAGATAGCTGTATTTTATAGTTAAATTTTTCAATACTGCATGATTCATTTTCATGTTCATTTGTTGTGTTCTGGAATTAATTATCTTCTTCCAAGTATAATATGTTGCGAACTGTTTAATATGGTTAAAACATAATTGGAATAAAATATTATATAGCGATTACTGATATAGTGAAAAAAAACTTACCCAAAAAGACCATAAATTTCGCTTATTTTATTCAAAGCATCTATTTTTTGTTCATCGTTTTTATTGCCACTTAATGCATCTTTAATAGCTTCAGTATATTCGTCACTCGCGCGCAAATATTTCTTAGGTAAGTGAATAGAACCTTTTTGATATATGACGCCGTCATTATTAATAGACTCAAACTCATTATGAACGTTAAAATCTATTATATGAGGACTTTCAATATAGAAAGCTTGCTTATCTGCTATTGCTATGGTTCCATCATTATTTTGTAGTAGTCCTTTATCTAACATAAGCATTCGCGCAGTTATTGGAAAGCTTAGTTTTGATTGATCGGTTTCTATATAGAAAGCAAGATCTGTACCGTCCATAAATGTAATATCTCCAAGGGTATATTGATTTTCTTTGTTATATGCTATTTTTTCGCCAAATTTGTCGAAAAAATTAATATTTTGACGGCCCAATAATAATTCTTTTTCTAATGAAAGACGCCGTCGAATTTCACTCAGTTGTGTAGATTTATCCAAATGATCGAAAGTATATGTGCAAGGACATTCTTTGGCGAGAAATAATTTAATAGCCTGTTTTTTACTGAGAATTAGAAAAAAGAATTAATGATTAGAATTGCAGCATCATGAATAAAATTTATAAAAATTAATATTTTATCAAACACATATCATTAATTATAAATAATTAATTAATTATAAATAATTAATTAATAGAAAATTAATCTTTTTATCTAATTAATTTGGCATGCATACAATAATTAGCATGTCTACTATAAAAAAATTCGCACTTACACAGTGATTGAAGATATGCTCGCGCTGCTCATTTCAGAATCGTCTTTCAATCTAAGATAATGTTTTGCATGATTTATAATGTAATAATGCACAAAAATTTTTAATAAAAAAGAGGACATACGATAACTCACCTAGTAGTAATTAACAATGAAAAAAAATACAATAATAAGCAAACAAACTTATGAAGCAAGTGCGGGACGTCATACTCACTCTCTAATAATTTATTTATACACGCCAGATTAGAAGATACTAATAACAGAATTATGAAGCAATATATAAAAGTTATGTATACTCATACATGTAATTTGTAATTTCAACGGACGTTTTATCTGAGAGCATCTTTAGTTGGTCTAGTATTTCACATAAAGTTGGACGTTGGTCTGGGTAAGAAGACCAGCATTTCTTGTAGAGATCAGAGTAATCTGATGGGGTATTATCGATTACATTTTCCCTTTCATGACTTAAAATCTTAATTAATATGATCGACACTTGAGGAATTTTGCCGAATGGCGGAATTCCACTAGTGAGTTCCCAAAACAATACACCTAGGCTATAGATATCTGACTTTTTATCATCGGGAGGCTTGCTAGTGCGGAGACACTGTGGATCAACATATGCAATCATACCCTTTAGATCTAGGCATGAACTGGCTGTATCATTTAATTGTTTCGATAACCCAAAATCCGCAATTAAGGCGTTACCATCATTGATTAAAATGTTTTTAGAATGCTATAAAGAATGATAATTAATTCGAAATCTCACGTAAAGTAAACCATTTATGAATTAAGCCTCACTAGATCTCTATGAATTATATCATTATCATGCAAATGCATCAGACCAGAAGTAATATCAATCGCTATTCTAATAAGTTCAGCCCATGAAATTCTATAAAGGCCTTCCTGTTGTTTTTTAGATAAATATTTCCGCATGTTATCGTTATTGGCAAATTGCAACACCAACATAATACTTTCTGATTGTGGATCTATGATTTGTTTAAGATTAATACTTATGTCGTTCAGGAAATAAATTTTCAAAGTTTAATAATTGACGTACCTCTTGAAATTCCATAGAATTTCACAATATTAGGATGATTTTCCTTACCAAGTTTATCGAGGTGTTTAATCTATATTTTTAATTAATATTTTTATTAATCTTGCATGAAGACAGTTTGATATTAAAATAATGAATAACTGCCATTACCTCTTTGATAAGTGTTTTTGCCTCTTTATCAGCTAAATACAAGTTACATTTTAACTTTTTTAATGCATAAGTTTTTCCTTGAAAATTTGCTGAGTAGACAGTCGAGGATGCACCATGTCCAATGAGCTTTATATCATTATATGATAAATATTCAAAAAATTTTATATTACGTCCTTTTAAACGGTTCTCTACCTCTTCGGAAAATTCTTTTACTAAAAGTATATAATATAAGTTTACTAGATTTAAAGATAATATAAATCAACTAAATTATTTATGTAATAATTTACATGTTTTCTCCGAATTTTCAACCGGCTTAATAATGGGTTGCGTCATAATTATTCTCTCAATTTTGAGCTTAATCACTTTCATGAGATAGCTTTTTGCTGTTATATATCATCCAATAATTTAATATACCTACTTATATACTTTATATTTATTCTGGTTGATACAAACGACACGTGTCAGAAACACGGAAACTTTTTTTGATTATTGTAAATATTTTGAAATTATAAGCCATGCACACAATAATGCATATGAAATTTGAAAATTTACGTTAACTGTTTATCTGAACTTGCGATTTAAAAAATATTGCTAACAAAAAAGTTACAGGTCAGGTACGTACGTACGTACTGTACTTATATCACCCGGAATGTTACCAATGGTAAATTAAGCCAATTTACCATGTAATTTACCAAAGAAGTAGTAAATTTACTTAAGGTTGAGTCTATGTAATTTGATTGGCTAAAAATTTTTTAGCCAACATATCAGTGATCTTAATGTTACACAAACCTTCTTCCTAAGAATTAATAAGGGTAAATTCGCCATAACTTACCAAATTGTTTAGATAATTTACCAAAATTAGCACCCAGGTCACTAGTTACACCAGATTTGAAGTTCGAGATTAACAAAAAATATGAAGTAAATACGTGTATCAATATTTTTCTATATGTGACATATCTGATATCAGATGTACGTACGTACGTACGTAGTACTATATGTATGTACTGCCACTGTAACTTTGTTTATTGGATTACGTAAGTTACAAACAGATTATTTTGATTTTATTTCATTTAACCTTAAATGACAACCCTTTTTTTTTTTTTTTCACACACACATTTATAAAGGAATGTCATTTAAGGTCAAATGGCTAAATGGAATAAAGAACTCAAAACTTGTGGTTGTGTTTATGCGCCTTAAGTTTTATAAATATTTGGTCTCATAAAAAACGACTTTAAAGGTTAATCATTATCAGAAACGAACAGACATCACGCGATAATACTTGTCAAACATTTGTAATCGTGTTTTCCGGTGTAACAGCTAGTTTTAAGAGAGTGACGCATAATGAATGCGCAGTACAACTCCATCCGCTACCTGAAGGGTACTGTACAAGATTTCTAATGGCCGTAGTAGTTTATGGTGAGAACTTATCGAAGAAAAATCATTTGGCTATGCTTTATAATGAAATGGAATTCTTCTATTTATTAAAATCAGATGCTTACTTTTATATATTTTAATGATATACAGTATATTTAATTGATACAGTATGAAAAAACAAACTTTCTGGAACCTATTAAATTACACAAGTGGTATCACGCTGTCTTGTTAGCCTCGTGTCAGAATGCACTCTACTTCATTCTCTGGGCTTTAACAATCGCGATACTAATTTAGCTAGATTCTCAATTATACCAAAAAAAGAAAAAGTCATAAGATTAATTCATTACACCAGATAAATTTCCGAGGTACTGTATTTAATAAAGTAGTATTGTATGACAGTACAGCATCACGAATTTGTTTTTATGTAGAATTATGTAGAATTTCTATAGAACATGTAGAATTTTTATGTAGCTCTATAAAAACTTTCCAAACCCTATGTAGATTTGCATAACTACGTATTTATATAAAGTTTATACCGTATTCCTCTGAAAATAGGCACCAATTTTTGCTTATTTTTGGGTATAATCTCAACTAGGGATGGGTTCGGTAAGTTATCAGTTGGTTAGTCGACTAAGCCGCGGTCATTCGTACGTAGGGTTAGGGATGGGATCGACTACGAACGGCTACGATTATTCATAGCCAATTTGCTAAATACTGGATGATTTTTTGTTCTTGGGCTTTTAATTAAAGTTGTTCAGAATCAAATTCTGCTCATCCCATCTTATAAGTTGAAAGAACGATACCTTCACTGGAACTCGGAATTTAACGATTTGTTACCGTCATAGCCGGCTACTAGCAACCGGGGTAAAATCACCACCCAAAAAAGTTTCGATCATCACGTGACAAATATATCGAACACCAAAAAGTCATTTAACTTGAACATTATATAATAAAAAATAATAACAATAAGCAATAAATTAATCATTTTATTATTTAAAATAACGTAATATTTATTACAGTCTCGAAGTATTATTATTACGATTTTCTAAGTACACTCTACCCATATTATCAGTGTTGTTCACTGAAACTGGAAGATGACTGGACTTAACCGGATGGAATTGGAAGCATTGTCTATTCATCATTTAGAAAAATTTTTTTACATGTTAAAGATAATAACAATCTGTGCTTAAAATTCAATATTCCAATATTCCCGGAAAACACTACATAATCTTTATAGATTCTTTAATATGAAAAAATTATTTTTTTATATAGAGAACATTATGAACTTAAAAACTATATCTGAGAACATAAGATCAAATTGAATTTTATCCATTGATAAATCATCTTTATTACATGAAATCAAAAACATACAGAAAAATGCATATAACTATGCTTCGTAAGAAATTTTCTTACGTTGCATGTAAAGAGGTAATAGTATACAATTAATATTATGATTGCTTAAATTTAATATCTTTTTCATTACAAAATTTTATAGATTTTTTATAACCACGTTCAGCTGCCCGTACGATCCATTCTTCTCCTTCTGGATTTTCGTCTAAACGCAAAAGAAAACCAAGATAAAACATTGCATCAAGGTTGCCCTGCTCTGCTGATTGTTTAAAATATCCTTTTGCTTCTCGTTTATCCTCAAGAACTCCGATTCCATGATAAAGTCCACGAGCATAATGCAATTGTCCATATTGATTATATTGGTTCACACTATCGGCAGATTCCTTATAAAATTTCATTGCTGCTTGTTCCATACTATCTCCATCAAGAACTTCCGCATAAAATTTTTCTGGTGCATTTAGAATATTCTCTTCAATATAATATCCTATCCAATATGTTACATCAACATTGCAATCATCTTTCCATAGTTTAATGAAAGTTTTCCATGCATTTAATGTATTACCATTTGAAATTTCATGTTGTTCAATCGCTTCTTCTAATGGCATTGGTGAATAACTCGGCCCATAATAGTTAGATTCAATTTCTTTTCTTAAATCTTCATCCAAAATGTTCCCGTATAAATTCCATGGACGTGCTTCTTTATTATTATTTTTTAGTATTTTTTCCTTTGTGTTAATTATACACCAATGGAAAGATATCTTCTCTTGAAGTTCTTGTTTTTGTTGATTTTTAGTAGTTTCTTTTTTGTCATCTGCACTTTCTTCTAAATCATCATCCGATGTATGCTCTAAATCATCTATGGGGGTATCTTTTTGATCTTTCTTCACAAGGATATCCTTATCTTTCTTCACTTTTTCAATTTCTAAGGCAATTGTATTTTTGGACCAATATTTAAACTTAATATCATAATAAAAAGTCAGATCACTCATTGGCTCATGGAGAAATGAAATTGCAAAAACATAATTTGTGGAAATTGCATCGGTTTTTATGGATACATCTTTTTTGACGTCTTTTTTAGTGAAATAGATATCTTCTGTTCCACAAGTAACTTTACAACTTCTGAAGCCAAATCTACAGTAGCCTTTTGTTTTGGCAATAACGAACCATATTATCATTGTTTCATCTTTTTTTAACCTTTTTAAAAGAAATAGTTATCAGATATAATTATATATCATTAATTGTAAGTCAATGCAATAATACCTTATATCACTATTTTTATGAATGATTACATTACACCCGTTTTCATTAAGATGAGTAAACGTAATTGATGCTTCTGAAATTACCTCCCAAGACTCTAGATTTTCGGAATTTTTCTTAACGATATTTCCATAAATTCGATAATCATCATCTGTTAATGGTCCTATAAAAAATGATCCATCATCATCAATAATTGATAGTCGGCGACTAATAAATAAACAACTTTTATCTATACCTGGAAATTTAATAGTCATGCCAGCCTGATCATCGCGTGATAGCATACTTTCTCCACTGGAAACAATATGGTACATATTATCCAAGATAAGCTCTATTTCTTCTCGCAACTGTTTTGATAAACCTTTATAAGTTGGGATCCAATCTTCAATAGAAGCAATTTTCCAATTTTCGGGTTTATTTTTTAGAGATTCAACCCAATCTTTAATATCATCTTTTCCGATAGCTTTTCCATCATTACTAAGAAATAAAGTAGTATCAATACCAAATTTTTTTTCCCATTCGCCTAGATGCTGTTCGATTATTTTTTGTGATGAATCAAATTTATTTTCTCCAATAATTTCTTGTATATCTATAGCGTCTACATGATTACCTAAATCATATGTGCTTGATAAAGTTCCACCGATGATTAGAGTTTTTGGCCATATATGTCCATAGTTATTTCCGAATACTTTAGAAAGATTTTCATATGGTTGGAAACTTTCAACAGCTGATTTCGTTTCTTGTAAACACGATTCTGTTGGAGTGATAATTTTTAAATCAAATGAGATTTCAGCCGCAAGGTATTTAATTTGACAATAAATTTTATTTGAAATTTGTTTTTCAGAATATTTAAAATCTTCCAACGGATAATTTAATGCAGAAGTGCAATCAATGAAAGGAATTTCATTAAATTTTAGATTATCTGCTTTTTTAATGTTAAAGTCGTTCTCTAATAAATAGGCCATTTGCTGAGTTTGAGGATGTATCAATGAAACAATAATTTGATGTATGGGAGTAATTTTAGGTTCTTTCGAAAATCTAAAGGCGACCCTTCCAAATCCTGTCGTTGAACGCCTCAAAAACAATCCACACCGAAATGAAAGTTCTTCTATCCAATCACGCACATATAATAATAATGAAGGCTTTGATATCCATTGTGAAAGACTGATCTCACTATATCTTATTGGAAGTTGTGGGATTAGTCTTGGGAGAGATTCATTGTTAGATATTCTAGGAAAAAAAGACAATATTTCATCTTTTAATTTCTTATCCAAAAGTTCATATGATTGTTTATATTCTTCATACGATATGATAGCGATATTATCGCAATTATATAAATCTTTCAACCAAGCGTTTAAATCTTTAACGCTTTTTATGGATTTCGATGGTGAAAATTCGATAGATGGAAAGTCATCAAATATAGCATATTCAAATATAGATTGTGCTTCACCTTTCGCGTAGCTTGTGCCCCAGCGAAGGTATGCTTGTAAACGCTCCTCCACACTTTTATTGGCAATCTCCGAACTATTAATTGTTATGGCACCGCCAAGAATGACTTTAGTGATTACATATCTGCCATATAAATCAAATATTTCCATTAATTTCTTCCTTTTTTCATCAATATTTGAGATATTAAGTGCATCTCGGACTTCTTTAATGAATTCTTTATTTAATACAGGATGATACACTATAGACCCAACTGGAATTTGAATCCTAATAATATCTGCATCAGCAAATGGATTTTTGTTGTCAGGGAGTGGCGATATACTAAGTTCATTTAAAATTCTCCAAGGCTCGACATTTGTTTTTGCGAGATAGATAGTTGGAACAAAATCACATTTCTCTGTTCTAACTTCTTCGTTGCTAGCCAAAATATTCTTCTCTGCATAAACTAAATCATAATTACCACGATTGCGACCTTCGGTTAAACGAAAATGTTTTTTAAAATGCTTTTTTCTTTTAACTGTTTTTTCTATAGTCTCGATATCTAAAAAGAGATCTTTTCCAGAAGGGTTATTCATACGAATATCTTTATTATTGTGACTTTCTTCTTCAGTTTTGTTTTCTTTATATTCTTCCTTGTCGGATATAGCTTTTAGTTCTTCCTTGTCGGATATATTTTCTAGTTCTTCAAGCACTTTAGAACAATTAGGTCTTTGATCTATAATTAATTGATTTATAAAATATCAATAGACATGCAATAACAAGTTGTAAAAATATTTGTATACAGTAATTACGGATGCAGTCTAAAATCCCGACATTCATGACTCAATAACTCATTACCCCATAGATGCGATTTGTTATCCGTTCTTATTTAAAGCTTAATGGATATCATAACATTAGAACTGGCGGATACCCTGATTGCGTTTCTATATTATCTGACCTATAATTCTGATGGTAATTTTTGCGTATCCCAAATGTCAATTTGTCCCAAATATCAATTGGCCAAATTATCAGCCTAAACAAATTAATTTAGGCAGGACGTTTAATTCACGATGACCAAGGATTTACTCAATATCTTGACATGATTAGGGATTTCAATTATTCGAATTATTCAAATATAACCAATTCGAATCCAACCTCTAGACATGATAGTCATTTATTGGAATTGAGCTATCAGAAATTAAATCGAATTATTGGGATTTTGAATTGCTAACATGTTTAATTGGGTATGAATTATCGAGATAATGAAGTTTCGGGTCAGGCTTCTAATAGTCGGGATTATTTCGTGATGAAATCTATGATTACATACCAGGGTCTTCATGCCAACATTGTTTATAAAGATTAACATATTTTTGAGGTGTTCCTTTTACTTGTGTTTCTCGATCACCATTAATTATTCGAACGGCTAATTTTATGTCATAGTTTCCTTGAAAAGGTTCGCGACCATCACTAGATATTTCCCACAGAAGAACACCCAAACTGTAAATATTTAGCTTTGTTTTATCACTTATTTCGCGTTTATCTATAAGTTCGGGAGAACTATACGGTGTGTATGGAAGACCAGATGGTGTTTTAATTATCGAAATTCCGATATTGGTTATTTTCGGGATCGAATCATTTACAAATATATTATTTGGATGCTGAAAATTATAAATCAAAATCGTGTAAATTGTAAAAAAAAAAACTATAAAGAAATTTTACCAGTTCAGAATGAACAATGTTTTTGCTATGAATAAAATTTAATCCATTGACAATCTGACGAGTTAGCGTTAATTTTTCGTTCCATGTGATTGGAGAGATTTTTGACCGATTTTGAAGATAAAGTCGCAAATTTCCATTATTGGCATATTCACGGACTATATAATAGTCTGTATTTACTGTAAATTAAACATAATATTAATTAATCCTAACTCTTGTTAGTTGATTTGATGCCTGAGGTACTTACCGTATGTAAAGCCAAAAAATTTAAGAATGTTCTCATGTTCAAATTGTCTAAACTACAATAAAAATAAATTCGTTATTATGATTGAAAAAATCAAATAATGTGTGATTTGATTGAAGTCATTGCACATAATATCTTTTGCTATAGCACTTTAGAAATTTCGATACTTAAATCTTACAAGGTTATTTATCGTACAGTGCTGACTTATTATAATTTATATTTTATATTATCATATAAGCATAATATTTCGGGTATTGGGATATATCATACCCGAGTTAATATAGTCCATTTTGCACGGTAAATGGTTCTTATTCGAAATTTCAAATTAATTATATATTTAGAAATACATTTTTTTCAATATTTACCAACCGTTCTAAGTTTTATCGAAGCTAATAACATGTCACTAACTCTGACGAAATTTATAAAGAACCATACTCAAGCTTTTTTTTAATAAATAACTACAATATTAACTATATAAGCTCTAAAAATACATACTTGTTGTTTGAATCTTTTAACTTCTAGACTATCATATTGTTCATTTGGTAGTAGTTTTAACGTTACTCTATTTTTGCGATAAATTTTATCTATTTGATTGTCAAATCTTTGATCGCCAGATTTAATTTGTTCTTTCGGTAATTCTGTAAGTTCCTCGGCTTTTATTATGGATATTTCATGTAACTTTTGAACTAGTTGATATGTAGTCTGCATTTTCTATGTCGTTAGCACCAAGTAGCTTGGACGGGTTTTCAAAGAAAATTTACATGAACGTAAAATTCGGTACGTACGCATATGTATACGAATACCTGATATGCAATACGTACGTAGTTGTACAAAATCAGACATAGTACAGTATACACATATAATGTCAATATTTATTGTTGTACCAAGTGTTGGAAATCTGTTTTAAGATTTATGTTCTCATGAGAATAAATTTAAAATTCCCAGAAATTTATTTATCTCAAAGTAAAATTTATTTATATCTCCATTTTTCTTAATTTGGAAAATATCGGACATTTGTGTCCCAACCCTTCTCGTCTTCATGTTCATTCATTTCTTTTCGGATGATTTCGGAACTTCGCTCGCTAATTTATCTGGCATTATGCTATTATACTTATATTATACTTATATAGATAACATATTTTCGAGTATTATGTTCTCAAGTTTTTTTCAGAACATTTACAGAATATAAAATTCCCTTAAATCTAAAGGTATGTTCTCGTGAGAACATGAAAACATAAGATTTCAAACACTGGTTGTACCAGATTATTTAACGTTATTCAGTAGAGTATTGTAGCACTTTACGACAGTCTAGATCCGAACAGACGTACAGTACATAAACAATTATACTATATTTGGATCGTACATATGGTTAACATATATTTAAAAAAAATCAATTTTATATGAGTAGCATACGTATTATCTTTTTTCGTGTTAGTTACCGGAGAATAACTCCGGTGTGAAGATTTTTTTCTTTTACGTACGTACATACTATCAGCTATCATTGCCTATTCTATTTCTGTACCGTACTACTTTACTGCAAATTAGACAAAATTAATGCGCCGGTTATATAAAGAAGAAATCACTTCAAAAAAATAAAGAGGTATTATTACTGTATTAGTAATAATAATGACGGTGTTGAGGCTGGAATTAGTCATACAACGATTAATACAGTATATATCATGAAATTATTTCTGTTGGAGCAAATGATTGGCTGACATTTGTCGCATTCAGCCAATCATTTACTATGGCATAGCAAATTTTGTGTCACATCGCATAAATCATTATGCTTGCGTTCAAAAAGAAAAGATTTATGATTATAAGTATTTGCAAGATAATTTATGTGCTTATATTTGAAAGTAGTACCATAACTTTATTTTATTTTAATTTTAAAAAAAAACTTTTAGTTAGTAAGTTCTGACCTAATATATACTTGACGTTTAGAAATGCAACCTTATTTGTCTCTAAAAACCTTCATCACTTGGACTTATTTAATAATATTATTTTGCCACGTTGCATTTTTTGTTGAGACAATTAACCGTTCATAAGGTGCCATGAAAGCTAATCTCTTGCAGCTTTTTCAAGCATATAAATTCTTTTTTGTTTTAGAATACTATTCCATTTACGATTTAATAATTTTATTAGAATACGAAAATGTCAATAAGGCTTTATATTGGCAAATGATTTTATTTACAAGTCGTCCGAGCTTTCTCAGCATAAAAAAAAATAGCTAAAAAATATCTAATCAAATTTTAAACTAATTGAACGAATGGTTAATGATCTAAAAGGTAACACATTCTATTGGAAATAATATTATTTTTCTTTTGCGATTACAATTAATGTAATAAATAATTTGAACCAAAAATTTGTCAGAGTAGCTAATAAAATAATTAATAGCATGGATTTATTTTGCAAAAATTCATTATAATCGAAAGAATTATGACAAACTTGTTGAATTTCATATTTAAATAATGGGAAATGTAGATTTGTATTTTTGAAATAAAACTTCCGTGCATAAAAATTTAAACTTAATAACGTAACTTTTTTTAGGGTATATAGAAAAGTTCATGATTCGCAAGATTGAGTTTTAATTTTGAATAAACATGTTTACATCGTAACACGTAAAAAAACAACAGAAAATAATTTCACGGTCGTATGAGTTTAGCGGATAACGTAATGTTACTTTTTTAGGAAATCTTAATATAAATTGATTGTTGTTTCCTTTTAAATTATGTTAGCGAAATTCCTTTACCCTAAACATCTAATTTCAAATAATTTTTTTAATTATTCGAATAACTATTTCTAATTGAAAATTCTATTGTAAATCATATAAAAAACTTGTATCACTAGCACCCACCATTTAGAGTTAACTAGATGTAATGTTGTACATTTGATATCTGGGACAAAAACATAAGATAATCAAAAAGTAAAAAAAAAAAAAAGTCTTTAGATCAAATCTTTATTAAGATAATTTTTACTTTCAAGACTAAATAAAAGTGTTCGAAATTTCAATTTTATATATATTTTTCACCCTAGTTCTATGGCAACATAATATCTAACC